TGGGAGTTTTTAACCTGTAGATTGCTGTAGGTTGTGGCAGCTGATGGGATTTTGTGTGTGTATGTATGGGGTGAGCTGTGTAATGATTGATGAATCCCTTTAATTAACTCCCAACAAGTTAAGATTTATGGCCTCATATCTTTTTCTCCTGACACATCTGTGTTTGTCACTTTTGAAGACACGGATAAGCCATTTCTCCAAAAGCTTTTGTGGGTATCTGAAATGTTTCTGAGGTATTTTGCTTAATGTAACAAGATCAGAGTTTTATGACATGAAATTTATGAAATTTTATGACATGAGCAATCACATTGGGATGGATGCTGGTTGTGTGCTAGAGGGCACCATCTCCTTGAATACTGGATACCATTTCAGATTTATTTTGGGTACATGACCATGTATGAAATGAACCAAAACCAGTGAACAAATGCAATGTAGTGGGGACATGTAAATGAGTTTCTGTTAAAAATATCAATAATGAAAAATAGAGCTGTGGAAAGATCACTTTTGTGAGGCACTGAACTCAAGGGAAAAAAAACCCCAAACAGTGTTATTTGGTAGCCTGAAATTATTTGGGTGGAACCAGTACTTGTAGATGGCATGAGGAAACAATTCGTGTGGACGCAGTGTAGCTCTTACTCTATCCAGTGGGAAAATCCAGCCATGCTGAAGTCAGTCCAAAAACACTGAGATCAATAGACACAGGGTATCAGTTTAAGCCTACAAAGAGTGTGTTGTAAGTTGAAGGGGAGTAAAGAAATATGTGGAGAAGCTATTGTAAAATGAATCACATCAAATATTTGTGGGATAAGAGTGAGTTAGAAGAGTGAGATTTTACTTCCCTGAAAAAAACGCTCCTGCTACCAGGAAAAGCATTTATTTAATGAAAATTTAACAAAAGGCTTTTTTTTTTACTGCGGTTTCTGCATATTAAGAAGCCTTTCCAAAAACAGAAAAAAGAGTCCCTTTACAAGAAATAGGGTCGTATTTGAATTCATCACCAGCACTGAATCTTCAGTTCCATCCTAACCACTGATAAAAATCAAGTATGGGGTTACGTTTCATAATTCTGATGTGTCTCTACAGTGGGCTAAGTACTGCCTGTGTCCCACTGTGTCTGAACTTTGCAGATTTAGGTTGTCTAAAACATTACTATTTAGCTATTTGTATTCAGTAGAAATGATTAATGACAGTTCAAAATGCAACTCTTCTTGCGAGTCTTAAATTGCAACAGATTTCGTCTGCAGAGACACCCTTTCTGGGTTCAGAATCTGGTCCACTGTATTGCTACTTTTCTGGGAGTTATATCCTGAGGTTTTGTTTGGTTTTTTTAATCCTATCCATAAGTTGATGTTTGAGGAAGCTGATGTTTCCTCTCTCATTGTAAACCTCCTTTCAGAGGGGTGTAATTGAAAACCCTTCTGACTTTAAACTAGTTTGCGGAAAAGATCTTGAAGTCATGTAAGTTGTAAACTGTCGTGTTATCATTGAGGGTAGATCCAGGATGTTTGTAGTCCTTTGTTAAGATGGGGTAATTCCAGTCCTTCATTAGACCTAGATCTGTTTAAAAGAGCTCAGTTTTCAGGTAACATTGTTACTCAGAATTTAGCTGTTTCCCTTATTGTTTTCAATGGGAACTCTACTTGCATCTCAGATATGGCATCAGTTAAGACCTACTATTAGCGCAGTAGGAAAACGAAGATGTTTGAAAAGCATTCAAGGATATGGGGCGTGGGAGCATTACAAACCCAGAAAAGGGACCAATAAAGCTGTAGAAGTAATGAAGGAGTATCTGTGAATGAATTTACCTTGTATCATGTTGTTTTCTGCTCATGAACCTATCAGTGCTTTGATCCTTTGCTGCTATAGGCTTTGATAATTACTGTCCTTTTGGAAGACATTTCCAAAATTAGATGTGGATTTATTTATTTATTTATTGAAATCTTGCATTGCCTTGTGGAAACTTCCCAGATATTCATAGGGAGTAAGTAATTTCTGTGAAACTGTGATGTTTGTATTTGATGTTAAAGGGGATGGTAAGATTTTTGAAAGGCCAGATTATGCCTTACTCATGGTCAGCTATGGATGGAGCTACCTGAAAACAAACTGCAGTCGTCGTCTGAGCTCTGTGACCTTTACCTCGGGTTGTGTATCTGTTTCTTTGTGTGTCCTGGTCACTTGGAAGACTAATGCAGTTTAGATCTGTAACTTCAGCACCCTAGCTATTTCAGCAATTTCTCAGCCTTCTAGCATTATGATGAGCACATAGCTTGTAATTTAAACTGGATGTCGTAAGAGCTGCGTGAGGAAGGAAAAAGTTTCTCTTCCTTCTCTAGTATCACTGTAGGTTGATTTTAGATCAAAAACATAATAATCTCTCTTATTGCTAGTGCATGGAGGTGGTCACCTCTGTTGCCTTCCTTGCCTGTTTTTATAAATTCCCTGGAGAAAATGATATCATCCCTGTTAGGAACAGTGACAAGCAGAAGGCGATGATGATCTGCAGCACGCTAACTAAACACAGTAGAGGAAACAGTATATTCACTGATAAAGTTAGCAGAAGAGATTTACTTCAACATGATATTCAAACTCTCCTTGTGAAGCTGTGTGACAGAATCTGGGTTATTCTGGGTTAACAGCAGTAGGAGTTTTTAACACAACTTGGGTATGTAGTATATAATACAAATCTTCAGTGCGAAGTAAGGCATCCTCTCTATATTGTATTGTCAAAGTCAATTGTAGTGGATAGTTTTGTAGATGGTTTACAATATTTTCAGTCATCTTATCAAATATAAATGTCCTAAAGTATAGAACATTACTGTGGAATAATTGACTAATGATTTTGTGTCCCTTCCTTTTTGTTTGCCAAAATTGAGACAACCGCTTAGTGCTGATTTTCAGAAAGAGATATTTTGTAAAAACTCAAGCTTCTATTAAGGCAGCGTTGAAATGAATAACCAAAATGTTACACTCGGAATCAATAGCAAATGTGTATCTTGGTGCGGTGCAATGCAGAGTATGAATAATTCACATTAACTTCAGGAGGGAGTTGCATGGTTTCTGCAGAAGAAAAGCTTGGGATCTGTCACGTCAAACATAGCTGTAAAATGCTGAATTCAGTGGGCTAGTAGAAAACTGCCAGTAAGAGTCTATCTGGTGATCTCTGTCTTTATACATATGCTTTGCTGCAGACACGTAGGTGGGAAAGCCTAGAAGACAGAATTCAGGTAGGATGTATGAAGTGTTAGTCTGTTGGACTAAGTCAAACATTAATAGAAAATACAGATTGCTTCTCTACGTACAGGCAATAGGTGGTGTTCAGAACAGGCAATGTGCAGCTGAGTATAGGTTCTGGTAGGGATTTTTTTTGTCTGATTTTTTTTTTTATTGTGTGGTTTTTTTTTTTTTTTTTTTTTTAAAATATAATCTAACTTGGCTCAGAAGGCAAGGCTCAAAATGAGATCATTAGAAACAAAGTAAGTCCTAACAAAGGGCTGTTTAAAGTCACTGTTTGTTTTCAGACCCAGTTGACTGCTGCTAAGAACCATTTCGTGCTCAATATGCCAAATCGTATGGACATGCTCCACCTCACAGCAGCCCCACACATGGTTCAAGAGGCTGCTGGGCTTTTGAAATGCAGTCCTTTAACTGTGAAGTGGAAAATCAAAACGGGGTAATTAGAATCATAAATACTAGATTTTTGAGGAGGAGCAGTATTACTTCAGCCTGTGTTTTCAGCTTTTACATACAACAGTCTTCAGTTTCCTTGTTCGTAACTTCCTATTTTCTATAAACTATTTCTCTTTTTCTTTCTTTTCTTCTTTTGACTATGCCTATAGGATCTCTTATTTCTCATTCCACTCCTTATTACAGATGCCCCTGCTTAGCACAGTGGCCCATTATGCCATCCACGCACATACCCTGATTTTCATGAACAATGTTGCTGTAATTAATCCCAGAAGTCGTCTGCATTTTAATACTTCACTGGACCCCTCTATTTTGAAGACCAAGCTGAAAAAGTGTCCTGGGTTCAGATTGTCCTATAAGATTTTCAGTAGTGCCTGGTTTGGATGAAAACTGGATTTTCCAATGACATAAGGATTCTTTCAGTCTTTCTAGAAGTTGAAGATACATGTGTGCTATCGGAACAGTGTTAGCAGACAGTCTCAAAAATCTTGGAATGTGGGCCTGAATTTTAAGTCAAGATTTGTATGCGATTTTTACAATGTGTACTCTATGTATCTTGCTTGTGTATCCTTTTTTATATAGATATAGATGTAAATTACATTTACATGACTTTTTCCTGATCTGGTTATAGGTAGGAAGTATAGGGTATCTTGATAGTAAATCTTCATTCACTTAGTACAACCCTGAATTTGTGCTGTCAAAAAGCTTAGATTATTAACATTTAAGTTAATAAGTTATTAAGTTTAATTGTTTAACTATCCCAGATCTGCGAACCTGAAAAGATTCTTGCAACATGACTCTAACATTGTTGTTCACATGGGTGAAGTTATAAACACAGACATTTTGGCTTGCTAGTAAGTTTTTTATCTTATTTTATTTTACTTTATTTTTTATCAGTTACGGTTAAATACATGCGGATGATTATTCCTTAAAAGCTAAGTTGACAATAGCTTGTATTGGGAGACATTCTATCTTCTTACAGTCTTTTGCAAATGCAAAACCAGATGGGTATTTTTTTAAAGGAATTGCAATTCATTATACAGTCGTCTTAGGTGAATTTTCATGTTTAAGAAGCTAGAATACAAGAGAGTGCTATATTAGTGTATTATTCTCACAACAAACAAGCCACTGTTCTGTTGCTACCTGCTTGGCCATTGTTCCCAATTGTGTATGCTTTGCAGTGGTATTTGGATGGTTTCCTGCTCTCTGCCAGCACAAAAAAGGCATTTCTGTTACAATGGCCCCTAACCACACAATGACGGCATTAAGGATTTATTTGGAGGTTTCATTATTTTCTCCTCTTTTGTTCCTTCCAGGATGTCTTCCAAGCGACCAGCCTCTCCGTATGGGGAAGCAGATGGAGAGGTAGCCATGGTGACAAGCAGACAGAAAGTGGGAGAAGAGGAGAGTGACGGGCTCCCAGCCTTTCACCTTCCCTTGCATGTGAGTTTTCCCAACAAGCCTCACTCTGAGGAATTTCAGCCAGTTTCTCTGCTGACGCAAGAGAACTGTGGCCATAGGACTCCCACTTCTCAGCACAACACAATGGTAGGTTTGCTAATGGTCTATTGTGCTTACATCCATTCTTTGAATTCTGCCTCTCCAGTAGTTAGGCATCCAGATCTGTACTTTATGGAGTATACAATGCACAGTTACACGTACAGAACATGCTACAATAACGTGAAAGCTTTGACCTAGCTGGACTGCCTTTACCCTCCACTACAAATGCTAAATCACTTGCAGTGCAAACTCCACTTTTCCTCACCCTTGCCTGCTGGCATTTAGGGTGCTAAAAATTTTTAGCTACAGTGATGTGAATTTGAAGTGTGTGTGTTCAGCAAACAGTAAATGGTTTTGGAACACTGTAAGTGAGAGTCATGTTTGGCATGGTGTCTGAAGTATCACCCCAATGCCAAGTTTATGCAATAGTAAGGCACAAAAGTCTGTATAAAGGGTAAAAAAAGCAACTTTGGATTTTGCTGGTTTTAAAAACTCACGTGTGATGTGTATTTCACATGCCACAGATACCTACAAGAAAGTTGGCTGTGCTTATGGAATTAAATCAGCCTACCACTTTTTCACTTGTGAATTCCCACCTTTTTGTGCACTTTACAAATGACAGTGCACTTAATTCATTATGTTAAGCAGCCCACTGGAAGTCCAGAACTGGATTTATCTAAAAGCAGACAAACAAAAAGAACAAAAAGCAATGCCATGTTCCCCGCTAGTATCGTGGTGTCACTGTTGTAATGTGACGTGTTTGGGCCCATGATGCAGAGTACCGTGATAGATTTTTATAAAGGTTGAAAGGTGCAGGGAAAGGCATCGAAACGCCAGGACTTAGGCACTTCGACAAAGCTGTCTGTTGTGAACACACTTACACAGTTCTTGCCTGTTTACAAATTCACTGTAACTTTTCTGTTAGTCTCCCACTTTGACAAGGGCAGTGACAATTTCACTTTAAGTAAAGATAATGAATGGACCTGCATATTTGAAGGCTTTTAAAAAGGCGTTGCAAAATAGGTGATAGTGTATTCTCATAAAAGCCTGCAACAGCTCCATAGTGCTATTTAAGCCCTTACACCTCATTACGCATATGTAACAAGCCCTAAGTAAAAAGCCTTAGGGATTATTATTTCTCACAGGACCAAGTCACTGGATATTCACTGAAGCTGGTCTCCTAGACAAAATAACTCACTGATCCCATTTTTCTTCTTTTTTTGGTCTAATGCTTAAGTTCAAACAGTGGCTTGGAATATTTAATTTTACTTTATGTTACTGCAACTTTAAATGAAGGGAAAACATCATTGGAAAAATTACTCATAGGCAGACATGTAATTTTCTTTTTCTAGCTTGTTTACTTCTTGTCCTTTATCATATGTTTTATGGAGATGTAATTCATTAACATACAGTTCCAGCCAATGGGATGTTAGGGTATGTAGCTGGTGTATGAGCTTTGCTGTATTTTGGCCTATTTTAAGAGAGTCTATTGAAGATAAGGGCTTGTTCCTGACAACATTTAAGTCAATAGATAAACTTGTGATGACACCCGTAGAGTAGAATCAGACCCTAATGAAATAAAAACTCATTGTCTTCTAAGGAGCCCAGCAGGAA